CCCCAGCGGATCGAATCACATAAGCAATTTATTCCACGTGATCATATGAAAATGCTTTCATTTAGTGAAACAATCATTTCATTGGAGAGAGAAGTCATAAAAATGGCCTTGTTTTTTGTTGTTGTTTTTTTTAACATTTATTGTCTTTTATTAACTATACAAAGGCTTTCAACTATGTGCACCAGAGCAAAGTATGGATCGCAAAATGAAGAATAGGAATTCCAGAACACTTAATTGTGTTCATGCAGTACCTGTACATAAACCAAGAGGCAGCACAACGAAGTGTGTATCAATGCTGAATTCTTTAACCATCCTTATTTAATCTGTATACTGAACAAACAAATAAACAACTGGACTATCTTATTAGGATTAGAAGAAAGCTTATGTATCATCAGTAATATGCAGATGTCACAACCTTGCTTGTACAGAGGACATGAAGTACTTGGTGATGAAAACCAAGAACTGCAGCCTTCAATGTAGATTACAACTCAATATAAAGAAAATAAAAATCATCACAACTGGATCAATAGACAACATCATGATGAATGCAGAAAAAAAATTGAAGTTATCGACAAATCCATTTTGCTTGGATCCATAATCAATGCTCACGGAAGCAGCAGTCAATAAATCAAAGGGCACGGCATGAGACAAGCCTGCTATACAAGAACTCTTTACAATGTTGAAGAGTAAGATGTCATTTTGAATACTATGGTGCTACTGACCCTGACTGCGGTCCTTTCTATTACTTTATATGCATATGGGAATTAGACAATGAATAAGGAAGACTTTATGCACTTGAATTCCGGTGTTGGCAAAAAGTACTGGAGGTAACATGGACTAGCAGAGAACAAACAAACCCATGATGGAAGAAGTAAAGCCAGATATCTCTTTGGCAGCCAGCATCACCATGATGGCCTTGGTTTTAAGAAGCGAAGGGTGGAGAACACCAGGGCATGCCGGGTGAAAACTCTTTGGGGGGGCTTCTGGAGCTCACGCCCTACCAAGCCTCTAATCCGCCCTGTGCTCAACTGGGGTACACCAGATAAGACATTTTGTTGGTGTGGTGATTTGATTACTCAGATATTCTCCCTGGCTTGTCTTTCACCAGAAAGGACAAGAAAAGTCCAAGCCTGACTTCCTCAGTTTCCCTTACAGCATAGGTGACCCTTGAGCCAGTTCTAGTCAGTAAATATTAAAGGAAAGTCTGTAGGAAGAGTCTGCAAAAGGCATTTGTCTCTCTACTAAGAAAAAAATACAGCAAGAGAAGAGCTTTGTCTCCATGGTTTCCTACTGGGAAGGTGATTGTGTAAGGGCGTGATGGTAGATGCTACTACAGCCACCTTGCAGCAAGATGGAGAAGGCCAAGGTTATGGCTGGGACTCGCTATCATTCGCGTGCTCCAAGCATGACACCAGTGCTGGAGATTCTTCTGTACAAAATAATCAGGGTTCCTGCTTATAGGGGACTAACAATTCTTAGACGCAAGGCAGTAAATATACAAGGACAGGGAGAGTTAGGAGCTGTAAGTATTTTTATTTTTTATGAGAAGGGTAGAGAGGATAGGTGATAAAATAAGGCCAGTTTCTACTCCTGCAAAAAGTTACAATCTTGGAAACTCCTGGGGGAAGATCTGCCCTGCCCTACAGAGTCACTATGAGTTGACATCGGCTCAATGGCAATGAGTTTTGTGGTGGTGGTGGTGCTGGTTTAATAGGGTGACTTTTGAGAAACCTAAAGGAAATGAGGGAGCAAGACCTGGGGATTTGGGGGGGGGGCGGGAGTGGGCTTCAGAAAGAGTCAATCGTACATGCAAAGGCCATGAAAACACACCCTCTTTGGAGTGTTGAAGGAGCCCTGGGAAGAGCCGAGACTAGAGCTAGGTGAGGAAGAGGGGAAGCGATAGGAGGCAAGATGAGATCACGTGGGTTTATACAATCTTTAGAGGTCTTGGAAGCTACAGTAAGGAGTTAGAGTTTTTTCTGGATAAGATAAAAAAATCATGGATGTACCTGAGCATGGGAACAGCATGGTATTTGATTTTTCTGGCTGTAGGATATAGAACATGTTAGAGGGATTAAGGGAGGCAACATGGAGACACGTTAGAAGAACTCTAGAAAGAACTCAGGCAACAAAGGTGTCGATGGTGGTGGTGGTAGGTGTGTTCGGTTGAGCCTGACTCATATTAACACTAATACAACAAAGCAAAGCAGTGCCCGGACTTACGCCACTGTGGCAGTTATGTAATTTTAGGTCAGCTTGAAGATACTTAAGAGTGTAGAGGTGGCATCCAATCTATCCAATCAGGTCACAGCCTGAGGGTGCCTCCTTGCAGGCACGG